TCCTTATAGTCTACACGCATTCTTAATTTATTCCCTTTTTAGGGACTGCCACTACGTTCACTAACCAATCCGAATATTTACCCTCCCGAATGGAACTTATTTTAAGGAGTTTAGATACCTCGTCCTTGATGAAAGTATGGTTGATCTCGGACTGGGGTCTACTCTTCTGCTTCACCGGATGGGACTTTGGATCCAGGCTTAGCTTATGAATAGTTATTTCCGGCGGGATCCCTATCATGTCAAGATAGGACCAAGCGAAACAATCTATGTTAGCCACAAGAAACTGAATGAGTTTTTTCCTGAGCTCGGGATTTAACCCCGTGCCCAGGTATATATTTTGATCGGGTAAATGTTCGACCAATATGACCTGTTCCAGCTCCTCGACTGTCGATTTAGTGGTATCGGAATCATCGGGGGTTATAAAAGACCTAGTACCCTGTAATCATAATCATCGTCTTCATCAGTCCCCTATTTCTCTGGTTGGGTCAGAGCTGATGTCAGTAATTACTATTTAGTTTCTGTCTTTGTGACTGAACTCAATTTTTTTTTCCTTGCAAGTGTGGATATCAGAATCGCCTCTTCGACCGCAAACATCTCCTTTGCGGCTGGCTGTTCTCCGTAGATTATTTTAATTCTGCCCGGTGTTGGGAACAAGGCATTGTACCTCATGTCCCATTCGATCACATAAAACTTAGCTTCCTGAATGGTCCCGGCGGTGTTCACCGGTAATGTTATCTCACCCTTAGTGGTTTCACATGCCATGTTGAATTCGTTTAGAACTCGGACTGCAGGCACAATTTGATCTTGTAGACCGAGCTACTCCACGACCCTCGATCGGATGATGTTGGTCGAGCTACCTGGATCAATTAATACACGTTTAACTCAAATTTTATTTATGAGTACAGATATTACCAATGCATCATTGTGGGATTGTACGATCCATTCCGCGTCCTCGTCATTGAAAGACAAGGTTCCTTCCGGTATGTAATCTCGAGTTCGTTTCTCCCTCGTGATGGAAACTTTGGTGCGCTTCAACATCGGCCCCTGAGGGACATCGACCCCACCAATGATCATGTTAATGATGTGTTGAGGTTCTTCTTGTTCGGTCTATTTTTTAGACTTCCCTATTCCTGAAATGATTCTTGGCCCGGTCGCTCAGGAATTCTCGAAGATGCACGTCGTTGAATAGTCGGGATACTTCCTCTCTCAACTGTTGGCAATCCTCCATTCTGTGGGCGCGAGTGCCATGATATTTACATATCTGGTTAGGATCCCTTTGGGTTGGATCGGATTGTAGAGGTCGAGGCCATTTGGTATCTTTGATGTGTCCGATAGCTGATACAATGGCGGCATCATCGACATTAAAGTTGTATTCCGATAACCTCAGTGCTTCTTTAGGCCCGATGGACCTATCGAAGCTGTTTTTGCTCATGAGTCCTTGGTTGCTCTGTACTCGGTCATTTATCCTTTCGTTTCTCATAGAGTTCTACCCAGACCCACTACTTCTTCGGTCTGTATTATACAGCTGGAACCGATCCCTGTTTGGTCTTGGTTCACGATCGATATCTCTCTTGACTCTATCGATGTTTCTGACGAGATAAACAGACCCCGAAGGGGTCCTGAGTTGATCATCTTCCACTCTGATCTTTGATTGATACTTATTATGCACGTCAGCCCATGTAACAACCAGATATTCTATCAGGTTTTGTTTCAACTGTTGTGAAGCCACCAAGCTTCGAACATTGAGTCCTTGGGTGAAAGCCTGAACGGCCCAATCATTAGCGACAGGTGGCAGGTCCATTCATTTCATTTGAAATCGGGAAGCAAACTCTCTGAGCATTTCGTTATCCTTCTGTTTTACTTTGAAAAGGTCCGATTTCCTGATTTCGACCTTGATGGCCCCGCGTGTGCTTTCACAAAAGAATCTGCATGTACATCAAATGAATTAATAGAATTAGGAGGCAATTGTGATACCATATCATAGCCCCTTTTGACAGGGTCTCTCCAAACTTTTTCAACAGGACAGATTCGATCTCATCATCCTCCAAGTCGTTCCCTTTGATGGCACATGTGTAAAAGGTTACTTGCTCCTTTAGGTCGGTCGTTCCGTTTTACTTTGCAATCTCGGGCATGCGGAATTTCTTAGGGATCGACTTCGGAGTCACGCTCGGGGGAAAATGTTTTTGTACGAACTTCTTGGAATTTAGGCCTTTCAATATTAGCGGTGCTCCTAGGATTTGGTCTACCTTGGAATTGTAGGTTTTCACCTTTTGTCATTAGCTTCGATTTTCTTCTCCCCCGATTCTATCCGTTTTGTCAGCTCTTCGAGCATCTTTATGATCTCGGGGTTAGCCCCCGATTCATGTTCACTTGACCTTTCTGCGATCGGTTTGTCCCTGTGGGTCACTTCCCGAGGTGGATAGGGTTTGACCTTGCTCGGTGCACGACTTTGGTTCTGTAACTGAGCTATCGCCGCCTGTTGAGCCTGCGGCATTTCAAGGATCACCCGTAAATTGAAACAATCTCCTCCAATGTTTTGTGTGTTTTGAGTTGCCAATCAGGATCCACCACGGACGCTATTCTCGGGGTCGGTAGGCAAGTTTGTGTCGATAGCCACATGTGAACTAGCGTCAATCGGGCCCTCAACCGGAATTTCGATAGGATCAACGGGCAATACCTCGTCACTGGGCACTATGTTGTCAACATGTAGGGGTGCTGATTGAGAGTTCGACATTTTGAGTTTTAACCTGAAATTAAAGACATTTCAAAGAACAAGTGTAAAGTAGTGTGTTATAGAGATTTGTATCAAATAACCACTATTATCCTTAGCCCCATGGTGGGCACCTTTTACCCTCAAAATTGGATAACAATTGAATTTGTAAGTGGTTTTAAGGATACGTGATCTAACTTGATACAAAACGATAAATTAGATTGCAATTGAAACAAGTAATGGAAAAGTGAATGCAAACCACACGAATTGAACAGTCTTAGTCTTAGAGAATTAATCACCCTAGAATCAGGTACTTCGATCGATATCAAGATAGAAAAATGGGAGCTTTAAAGAGAGTAGTAAGAACTTGAAGAGAATAATAATATATTATTTTGGAGTGCGTGTTACTATGTGTCCAATGAATAATCAGACCCCTCTTTATATAGTAGAGGAGTCATATTTTATGTACAATTCTATAAAAGGTAAAAGATCTCTTGATTCGCTGATTGTTGGTTCCTTATTGATACGTGCCGAGATTCCCTCCGTAATATCTGACCGGTCACGGATATTTCGGTTTTCTATTGGTTATGCTAACAATGTTTCTTCGAGCTCGATCGGGACTAAGGTCGACTCCGAGATTACTGACTTAATATTCTCGAAAATAGGCGTTCTGGCCCCGGGTTCTAGATCGGTGGGACTCGGGATCGATCTTCAGTCTTTGGTTGTCATGTTCCGAGCCTAACCTGCTATGTCGCAGGCGAGCTCGATTCCGAAACTCTCAGTGATAACGAAAAATTGATACAAAATATAACTGAAACCATTCCGAAAAATAAGCAAATGAGAAAAATACAGTAAACAATATATTAAAAAGGGTTCTTTGATTTTGGCTGTTTTGCCTTATAGCTAATAAGAAAATACTTTATATAACAGAAACCATTCAGAAAAAGAGAAGCAAATGAGAAAAGACAGTAACCATTATTTTATGTGACAGAAGAAAAAAGAAAAATAAAACTAGAAGAAGATCAACATTGAATGCTGCCAATTGAATATGTACAAATGGAGCCAACCACCTCAATATATTATTTGTTTGTTTTCTTCTTCGTTTTTTGTTTTTTGGGTTTTACAATTTTCTTCAATTCCAATTAAATACATGTTTCCAACCACTCCCAAGCAACCCTTCACAGCTTGTCAGATAATAAATAAATAACAAAATCAAACCCCCTCAATTATTTCCACATATTCTTGCTAAATTCCACTAACGTACATTACGTACAAACAATGAATGTGTGATCCTATTATGCAAATAGAACTAAGTAAATAAAATACTACTGACTTAATAGACTGTTAAGACAGTGATCCCTTAGCTACCTTTCATTCTAACATGACTATAACTCAACAATCAGATGACAAATAAACAGGAAAGGAAACAATTGTTCAACAAAAAATGAATTAACTACACTTAAAATCTTAAATAAGCTATATATGTTAGATTATAAGAATCCTTAGACCTATTATGCTCTATTCAAATCCATTTAATGCAAAATTTATTTTATCTTTTAAGATAAATTCGGAGTTTTCTAAATACCATACTTTTCCCTTCACATCTAAGCATATATAGATCAATAATTCAAAACTTCAATTAAATTAGAATTAAAAATTGATGTGTTTTGATGAGAAAGGAATACCGACAGTTTTTATAGTGAAAAGAAACATCAACGGCTTCATTTTTTTGACTCAAGACAGAGATGCATATATATTATATTTTCATTTACCCCTTAGTGTTCATTTTCCCTTTAAATTCTTTCGTTAGATTTCAGTTCTGGAATCTGAAATTGCTTCAACATACAAAAATGAAGATTTCAAGCTTTTAACTACAAAGGTGTGATCATTCAATTTTGGATTCATATGTCTTAATAAGCCAACAATCTAGAAAAAGGTAATTTATTTTAAACAGACTAAAAAAAAAATAACTTATTTTCTTTTTGAAACAGAAAAAGCATTATCATAGTTAAATAACAAATTTATGAAAGAAAAACATATATATTATATTTATTGATTTAATATAAACATGGAGCAACTATTTTATTTTCTTTTACCAACAATGATAGATTGCCCTTTTTTTGCGCAAGGACTGTCCAACTAGTCCCCTCTCTCTACACCAAATAAGAAAAAAACAAAATTCTTTCAGCCGCAGTCCCCACAAAAACCATCTTAGCCAATGACATCTTAAAACGTTTATTAATCACCTTTACATAAAGAATCACTGATTCTAATTCTTGATTTTGCTACAATAAATTTCTTCACTTTCAAATATTCTTTCTTTTACTCTTATGTCTCTAATTCCTGCAAAATCTCTCTGTTTTACTCAATTGTGCCCCCTCCTCCTCTTAGTACATACTTCATCTATATTTAATTATCACAGTTTCTATATAAGAGTTCTACATTCTCTAAGTCTTATTCTCTGAACTTCTAGCCTTTACTTTTTAGTTGCTCAAATTCCGAAATAAGTATAGTCTATAATGAATTACTTTAGATCTATTAAAGAGCTCTAATGCTTATCATTCACAAAACAAGATCTACTCTTTTTTTTTCCTATTGTTTCTTGAATTTTCCTTGGGTATTGGAAAGTTGGGTTGTCTTTTCTAGATTCCTCACCTCACTTATTGTCAAAAAAAAAAACAAGATATTCCCTTCCTATGCTTGTTGAATAAATGCTATTGAGGCCATAAAAGACTCATCATTTCCTCTTCTTTTACCCAGAAAGAAAACAAAGAGGGGGTTTTACTTTTTTATTTCTCCATTATATATGATCAAGAAAATATGAAGAGGGAAATGGGATTTTTATCCCCTGCAACATATATCAAGAATTCAAGCTGGTTATTTGAGGAAAACAAGGTAACAAAATGGACAGCTGAAGAGAACAAGATGTTTGAAGATGCACTTGCTTTATTTGATAAAGATACTCCAGATAAATGGTACAATGTAGCAGCAATGATCCCTGGTAAAACAGTGAATGATGTGATCAAACAGTATAGAGAATTAGTAGAAGATATTAGTGATATTGAGGCTGGCTTAATTCCAGTACCTGGCTACACAACTAGTAATTCTTTTACATTAGAGTGGGTTAATAATCAAGATGGATTTAAGCAATTTTATGGTCAAACTGGAAAACGGGGCGCCAATCGATCTTCTGAACATGAAAGGAAGAAGGGTGTGCCATGGACTGAGGAAGAACACAGGTGAGTAAAATTCTCTCTAGCGAAAAAAGGGGTGAATTTGACTAATTATTGCAGAGAAGAAGATCTCACGAGGTGCTTTTTAAGTGATACTTAAAACTTATGATTTAGCTTTGTAGCTTAACATGGTCATAATGATATCCAACCTAAGAAACTTTTACACTATGGTTTTACTGCAAATATGGTTGTAATTGAATATAATTTCATTAAGATAATGTAGATCCTCAACATAACATCATCATAGTTTTCAAAAATGTCTTCAGGATTCAGCAAGAGTTACTTTGCAAAATTTCTCTTCTCTATATGTGAATAAGGTTTTTTTTTGCAAATTTTTGTTATAAGAGACTTTTACACTATGGTTTTACTGCAAATATGGTTGTAATTGAATATAATTTCATTAAGATAATGTAGATCCTCAACATAACATCATCATAGTTTTCAAAAATGTCTTCAGGATTCAGCAAGAGTTACTTTGCAAAATTTCTCTTCTCTATATGTGAATAAGGTTTTTTTTTGCAAATTTTTGTTATAAGAGACTTTTACACTATGGTTTTACTGCAAATATGGTTGTAATTGAATATAATTTCATTAAGATAATGTAGATCCTCAACATAACATCATCATAGTTTTCAAAAATGTCTTCAGGATTCAGCAAGAGTTACTTTGCAAAATTTCTCTTCTCTATATGTGAATAAGGTTTTTTTTTGCAAATTTTTGTTATAAGAGACTTTTACACTATGGTTTTACTGCAAATATGGTTGTAATTGAATATAATTTCATTAAGATAATGTAGATCCTCAACATAACATCATCATAGTTTTCAAAAATGTCTTCAGGATTCAGCAAGAGTTACTTTGCAAAATTTCTCTTCTCTATATGTGAATAAGGTTTTTTTTTGCAAATTTTTGTTATAAGAGAAACTTGGGAATATGTTGTAGTCATTTTAGTACGTTTACTTAGAGTCTTATTCTTTCTAGGAGTCTTTAGTCGAGTCAGAGATTATAGACAACTTTTAGTACTTTTTATTTTGTATAATATTGGTTAGAGATTTATATGCCGGAAAAATAACTTGTTTGAGATTGAGACGAGTAGTAATGCCGTTGTGTTGCAAGAGTAATAGTGTTTCCTATATATTTTTCAGGCAATTTCTGTTGGGGCTGAAAAAGTATGGAAAAGGAGACTGGAGAAATATATCTCGCAATTTTGTGACCACAAGAACTCCAACACAAGTAGCTAGCCATGCTCAGAAATACTTTATTAGGCAGCTTTCTGGTGGAAAAGATAAAAGAAGATCAAGCATACATGATATCACTGTTGTCAATCTTTCTGAATCCAAGTCTACTTCCCCTGAGAATCATTCACAACAACAACACCATTCAATGGTGAAAACACTATGTGACTATAATTCACCAAATCAAGAAGACATTACATTCAACTCATCAAGTGGTGATCTAATCACCACGCCTTTTCGAGGGGTTTCATCGTATGGCCTCGAGCATGGAATGCACAGCATTACTCTACAAAGTCTCCAGTTTGGCAATTACAATACTATGTGTTGAGATTCAATGTTAGTCCATGTCTGTCAAGAGGAACAGTGCGGATTCATATAGCCGAACCCAACTTGTTTGGGATTGAGGAGTAGATGTTGTTGTCGTTTGTCAAGAACCGAAGCAAAAATTGCTACTACTAGAAAGATGTAAGCTTTAGTTAGTTCATATTGCAACCAAAAAAGGGTTGCTCATTATTTAGGAGAACTTTGAGCTATTAATTTGCTGTCTGCTGTGTCTTTTCAAGTGTGGATGAAGTTGATTTAAATAGATTTGCAGACTAATTTGGTTTTGCAACTAATACTGAAGATTACTGATCAACCTAATTATGCAGCTTCCAAGTTGATAAGCTCAACAGATTTCTAGTATTCCCTTTATCTTACATTCACACTTATTACTGTTACTGTTAATTGTAATTAGTCAAAATAAAATTCCTTCTGAAATTTTGGTAATTCAAGTCATTAATTCCCGGTTTAAGATAAAGCACCATTGCAGCTAGGCGTTTAATTTTTCTACTTTATACTTCATGTCAGTTATTCTTTTTCTTGCTGTTACAAGGAAAGAGAAAATTATTAATAGGCTGACTTCGTTCAAAGAAGCAAGAAGGAACTAGTATTAAAAAAAAAAGGGCAGCCCGATACACTAAGCTCCCGTTATACGCGGGGTCTGGGGAAAGGTCGGATCACAAGAGTCTATTGTACGAAACTTTACCCTATATTTTCTAAAAAAACTGTTTCCATGTCTAGTATTCTTAACTTATGCACAAGCAGATCTTAGTGGAGAAACTTAAATTAAGACCAAAGGTTAATTGATGAGTTGGGGCAGCTACAAGTATTGCGGCTTTAGCCTCTCGCAAGGTGGAGGAGCCAAAAGATCCATGCCTCTGCTTTTCCTTTAAGCTCAGGTTTCCGAATATTCACTGTTCCGATTAATTCAGATTTGTGCGCTCCTTACCAAGAGATTCAATTTATAGATAAATAATTTCAACCATCTCACCACACATCCAGATGGTTGCCTGACTCTACCTTTACTAATAGGTAGGAGGGGTTATTCTAACAATCAGCACGCCTTGTTTCAGCTGCACCTGCTACAAAAATAAGGCAAAGTCATCCTACACCCTTGTTCCTATTATCTGCTTAATCAATGTCCCACTTATTCCTAAGTGTCAACTGGGAAAGTAATTTTTCCTTCTCAATGGTCCAATGTTTCTAAGCAAAGGTTTGTCATTGGTACAAAAAAAATGACTCAAGAAAGTGCCCTCTATTTATCAAAGTTTGGTCATTCAATTTTCTCACTATTATTTAGAGTAAGTTGCTTGCTCTAAAGTGCATGGAACCACTTTTGTTTATTGAGGCTCTTCATGTAGTCTTTTCTGACTCATCATAATTATATAAGTTGATTTGCACATTTTAAGATTCCTAACTAATTCCTATATGGTTAGTAAGACTATTCCTCCCAAGTGGGAGTATTTTATCTTACACTGAATTTCCAAAACTGAATTAATAAGGTTGATACATATTCTTTCCTAATAAAGTAGATTTGGGAATTAAGATCTTATAATCTAATGATGAGAGATAACATAAAAAGGGGCATTAATGATAATCCAAGATTAGTAAACACTAAACACTAACTTTATAACACTTTGACATGGTTTTTTAAATTCTATTATGGTCTGCTATTTTGTCCACCATTCAAAAACCCACCCTTCATGTGTTTTCCATATTCTTGTGAAATGATTATCAAGAACTTAGAAATCATAAGATGTCAGATGAAATATGGTCTGTTAATTTATGGTCTCTTCTCCCTCATCACACCACTTACAATTGGTGTTTGCTATTTGCTATTTGGTGGAAATCCTATAATTAAAATCCTAATGCACACCAACATCTTCACCTCATTATATTTTGGTCCCCTCCATTAAGCCAAAGAATTTAAGACAATATGACCATTCATATGAGCTTTTCCAGTAAATGACAAAACTGCCCCACTATTTCCTTTTCCTAAAGTACTACCTTTTTGCTAGTTGCATATATGGGATAGCACTTTGCCACTTTATTCTTAATTGATATAATTCTCTTTGATATATTAAGACCACATACCTTGTCTCACAACCCATAGGTTTTGTGCTTTTATATTCCTTTACCCCCTTTCCAACTAGATTCTGATACCTTGCTTCATATTGATTTTAGGAACAGTGCACTTTGTGTATGTAAAATAAGAATAAGCGGAAAGATAAGTAGGGTATGGCCTAGCGATCCAAATCAAAAACTCTAGATGATCCCTTCTCATATGCTAAGTTGTAGTGTGCTGAGTTAAGCAATAAATGTACTAATAAGATGTAATAGATACATAATAAAATAATTGAGGTGCGGACAAATTAACCCCGCCTCCACTATTATGGAGAAAAAAAGTGGAGGATCTAAAAGGAGTAAAAGCACAATTGACTCTTCTTTTTGGACTAGCAAACATTTTTCTCTGTTGTGCTTCTTTATAGACTCACATAATAAATATATGAAAAAAGTACTCCATTCAAGCTTTTGATACACACATCAAATAGAAGGTTGAAAAGAAGACAGAAAGTGGAGGTTAGATTATATTATCATCAGCACTCAATTGAGTCCAAACAAATAGATAAAAGACATGCAAAAAGGATTGATAAAGGGTAACAGACTTTATATTTTATGCAATGAGACACAGAATACAACTCATGGCAAATGAGTAATTGCAGTAAAATAATAAGTATTAATCAAAAGAGTGTCTAGTTGTCAGGAAAAACCAAATCCCTACAATGAGCTGCTAGTTGTTAATCTGAGCTGGAAATTTGAGCATCCACTTGTCATGTCTTAGTTCTGTTGGTAAGACTACTAAGGAATTTCTAATACTCATCAGAAGCCAAATTAAGATTAGTAAAAACGTTTTACATTCTCGCTCTCGCGGAGGTCACGAGTTCGAACTCCACTGCTAACAAAAAACTTGATATAAAATTAGAAAAAGTAGAGGAATGGACCTATTATCTACCGAGACTTAAACTATGTGCCAACTAGAACAACAACAAACTCAGTCAATTTCACAAGTGGGGTCTGGGAAGGATAGTGTGTACGAATATCTTACCCCTATCTTGAGGGTGGAGAGGTTGTTTTCGATAGATCCCCCGCTCAAAGAAAGATGAACAGCAAGCAGTAGCAACAAACAACAACAAGTAACAACAGTAAGATTATAGGAAAACAAGTTGAATGATCAACATGTTTAAGATTATAGGGAAACAAGTGGAACGATCAACATGTAGTAATAGAGATCTAACATTAATAGGAAACAAGGCTACCTACTAATACTACTGGTATGAGGAAGACATACACTTGACTACCTACGAATCTTCTACCCTAATTTTCGACCCTGATAGAAACTAAGAGTCCACCAAACTGTATAGAGCACCAGGTTCTCTATCAGTCCCCACGGTAAGCAACAGACTGTAAAATCAAAGAGTATAGAGAACCAGCTTCTCTATCTATTCCCACAGTAAATCAACAATAAATAAAGAACATGCGATATTTATGTGAAAAACTCCTTACTCAAGGGATTAAAAATCACGACCTACCCTAGTAGGATTTCAACTGCACTAAACCGAGCAAACTTCATATTACAACCTATTGCAATTTAGGAATTAAACTCGTAATCCCTCACTTCTTACAATAACTCTATTGTAAGCCATTTGTAATAACTCTATTACAAAGCAATAAATATTGACTAACTCTAGTCAATCTAGGAATTCAACTCTTAATCCCTCACCCCTTACAATAACTCTATTGTAAGCCATTTTCAATAACTCTATTACAAAGCAACAAACCTTGACTAACTCTAGTCAAGAAACTAAACCAAACAGTGGTTTAAATCTGCCCTACAAAGACATTTCTTGAAAGTAGTGTAGGATTACAAATGAAGAACAAAATAACAAAGACTGAACAAACCTAAGGACTTAAGATATCTTCAATCTTTGGATCTGGTCCTTGAGGTTGCAACAACTTGTTCTTGAGAGAGGAGGTGGCTAGCACTTGAGAGAATATGATTTTTGGATTTGCAAGTGTTGAAGGGATGAAATCCCTTGCCTCATATTGATAATATGTGTGTGTGATGTCATCAAGGATGATGCAATAAAATGTCCTTTAGTTTAGCCTTAGCAAGCTACAGTTGTGCTGTTGTACTACTGTCAGACGGTACAGTGCAACAGCCTGCCAGATGGTACAGTACAACAACTTTTATAGCTGTAGAGTTGACTGCACGACAACCAAGAGAACTTATCCATATTTTTTTCCTCTGTTGTTCCCTTATTTGATTTCATTGAGAATTGAACCAGACATCTGACTAGTTACGTTGAACGCAAGGGAGATAATTGTATCAGGTTCCTTATCTGGTTCTCTCATGAAATTTGTTAAATCATCAAAACAAAAGACACATAACTTATCAATTTTTCCCTTTTCAATGATGACAAACTTAGAATTGATATTCCCCCTGAGAACCAGATCTCCACATTGTTCCCTCTACGAATCAGTCATATTCCCACTAAGAACCAGACCAAAGGAACTGATCACAACCGGTTCCTAGAGATTGTTTGGCAAATCATCAAAACACAAAATAGCATAACTAATCAATTTCCCCTTACAGTCGTGCAGTGGGAATTGGTAATTGACACAGAAAAACAACTTACTATCAGAGTCTATCATCAAGATATTGATAAATATATCATGATGACTTTCGTATATGCAAAGTGCTTACCACTGGACAGACTAGAATTATGGGACAGTTTATACTACCTTGCAAGTGATATGAAACTACCATGGCTAGTTGGAGGGGATTTTAATGTGCTTTTGAGTGAAGAAGAGAAAATTGGAGGGCTTTCAGTCTATCCTCCAGAATATGAAGACTTTGCCTTCTGTGTAAACTTATGTGAACTCTTTGACACTGGGTACAAAGGAAGTCCCTTCACATGGTGGAATGGGAGGCCAAATACAGAATGCATATTTAAAAGATTGGACAGAATCTTTGTCAATTCCCCATTCCAATCTCTATTCCCAACTACAGAGGTCGAACATCTTATTAGAACAGGCTCGGATCATGCACATCTGTTTATGACCTGTGGTGACGCGACTACCACATTTACTAAACCATTCAAATTTCTGAATTTTTGGACAAAACATACCTCTTTTAAGGAGGTGGTTCGACCAAATTGGCAGGCTGACGTCACAGGTGACCCCTTCTGGATGTTCAAACAGAAATTAAAAAGAGTTAAGATTGCTCTTTCAAAATGGAGTAGGGTCACTTATGGGGACATCTTCAAGCAACTAGCTTTAAGGGAAGATGTGGTCAAAATAAAGAAAATGCTGTTTGAAGAAGAACCCACAGTTGAGAATAGAATTGTACTTCAGAAGGCACAATCTGAATTAAAGAGATATCTGAGCATAGATGAACAATATTGGAAACAAAAAGCAAGTATGTTCTGGTTTGCAGAAGGAGACAGAAACACTAGATTCTTTAATAACCATGTCAATGGTAAAAGGCAGAAACTCCAACTGAAGAGAATCCAGAACCATGATGGTAACTGGATTGAGTCGCAAGAACGGATGGCTAACGTAGCAGTCGAATTTTTCCAAAAACAGTTCACACAAGAAGCTGATCATACAAGGTCTGAGCTCCTCAACAATGTACCCTCAATGGTGTCTTGTGATCAAAACATAGAACTTTGTAGAATTCCTACAATAGAGGAGGTAAAGGCAGCGGTTTTTGCACTGAGCGATGAAAGTTCAAGTGGTCCAGATGGTTTCACAGGCATTTTCTTTCAAGAATGTTGGGGTATAATAGGGGAAGACATACATGCGATGCTGAAACTATTTTATGGAGGAAGTTCCTTACCTAAGTCTATAACCCACACAAACCTTGTCTTGCTACCAAAAAAATAACAGGTTCAAACATTTAACGACCTAAAGCCTATTAGCTTAAGCAATTTTGTAAATAAAGTTATCTCTAGAGTTGTTCATGATAGGTTGGAAAAAATACTGCCTTCTTTGATCTCTTCCAATCAGTCAGGATTTGTCAAATGGAGAAGTATATTTGAAAATATTCTGTTAACACAGGAGATTGTTACTGTCATAAGATTAAGGGGAAAACCTGCTAATGTAGTTATCAAACTTGACATGGCAAAGGCTTATGATAGGGTCTCATGGAAGTATCTAATGCATGTTTTGAGGAAAATAGGATTTGCAGAATGCTTCATCAACATGATATGGAATTTAATTTCCAACAACTGGTATTCTGTTCTGATTAATGGTCAAGCATCAGGATTCTTTCACTCAACAAAAGGGGTCAAGAAAGGAGATCCTCTCTCTCCATCCCTGTTCATTCTCTCTTCAGAGGTTCTGTCTATATCGTTAAATAAACTATTTGAAGACATGAGATTCAAGGGCTTTGGGATGCCTAAATGGACTGATCCATTAAATCATTTGGCCTATGCAGACGATACTATAATCTTTTCCTCTGCTGACCCATATTCTTTTAGGAAAATTGTAGAAGTTTTGTCCAAGTATGAGCACACCTCAGGCCAAATAATCAATAAGACAAAGAGTTCCTTTTATATGCATTATAGTGTGTCCTCAATAGTGTCCAGCTCGATAGGTACTATCACTGGATTTTCAAAGGGTGAATTTCCATTCACCTATCTTGGTTGCCCAATATTCTACACAAGAAGAAGGAAGGATTATTACAATGACCTAATCAAAAATGTAAAGGCAAAACTGCACTCTTGGAAATGGAAGCTACTATCCTATGGGGGAAAATCTACATTAATCTCTAGTGTCCTACAGAGCATGCCAACGCACATCCTTTCTGTCATTGACCCTCCTAAAAATGTAATTGAACACCTTCATAAAGCCTTTGCAAGATTCTTCTGGAGTACCAAGGAAGAAGGTTGAAGTAGACATTGGACAAAATGGAAAAATCTATGCCTACCAAAGGAAGAAGGGGGTGTAGGTTTTAGATCAATGCATGATGTATCAAAAGTTTTATTTGCTAAATTGTGGTGGAAGTTTAGGACATCCAAGTCCTTATGGTCTAACTTTATGTGGAACAAGTACTGTAAAAAGGAAATCCCAACAACTGTCCAATTTAGACAAGGATCTCATGTATGGAGGAAAATGTTAGAGGCTAGGGAAGAGGTGGAGCACGAAATACTATGGGAAATGAATAGGGGTTCTACTAATATTTGGCATGAGAATTGGACTGGTCTGGGAGCTCTGTACCATATTGTTCCAAATGACTATACAATCAATGAAGATATGCAGGAAGTAGCAGAATTGAGAGTGGATGATACCTGCGATGAGCAACTTCTAGCGCAATCTTTCCCTGCGGACATTGCTCAACATATCATGCAAGAAGTTATATTTAGCACTACTAACGATTCCTGGGATGTTCCTAGATAGATGCCTTCACCCTCCGAAAATTTCTCTATTAGTAGTGCTTGGAATATTTTGAGGCATGGAGATCATGTAAATCCTGACTACAATAAGATATGGACTAAAGGTCTACCTTTTAAAATCTCATGCTTCTTATGGAGATTGTGGAAGGGGAAGATTCCTACTGACGATTTGTGGAGAAGAAGTGGGTATTTGGTAGTATCTAAGTGTTGGTGTTGTTCACAACCGCAAGAAAAGACTTTTCAACACTTGTTCCTAACTAGTGAAACTGCAACTAGAGTATGGAGAAACTTCTTTCAAGCAGCAGGTTTAGTGGTCAATCTGGTACAGGTGCATCAAGTAATAAGAACATGGTGGAATGCAAAGTGTTGTCCTAAACTAATGCCATTATATCAGGCAGCTCCAGCTGTAATCATATGTGAACTTTGGAAGAGGAGAAATACGATGAAGTATGGTGGTGCAATTTCTTGCAATAGGGTGATTCATAAAGTAAATAAAACTTTACATTATCTAGCAAGGATGAGGTACCCATGGTTGTCCAGAATTCCTCCTCTATGGTCAGATATGATCAGCTTCTTTAAAGGCTACAAGCCGTATGTGGGGACTAAGACAGTTACATGGCAGCTTCTTTATAAAGGGTGGTTCAAATGCAATACTGATGGTGCATCAAGAGGCAATCCTGGTCCAAGCTCATATGGGTTTTGTGTTCGAGATCATGCTGGCGATTTGGTATTTGCGAAAGCACATGAGATAGGAGAGACAACTAACTTAGTAGCAGAAGCAAAGGCAATTGTGGAGGGGTTGGCATACTTTGTGGAAAGGCAGCTACATCCACTGATTATAGAGACTGATTCCTTAGTAATGAGGAAGATAATTGATGGCGAATGGGCAACTCCTTGGTGTATAGGTGTTGAAGCAAGGAAGATCAAGCATATAAAGAACAACTACAATGTTGTATTTCAGCATGTACTAAGGGAAAGGAACATTGTTGCTGACGTTTTTGCTAACCTAGCTTTCACTTTTGCAGGTACACACACATTTCAATCATTTAATGAATTTTCAAGTGCAGGAAAAAACACAGATCAACATGGACAAATTACAAATTCCTAACCTTCGGATTAGGATTGTGAAGAGAAGAGAACCTGATTAATGAGATCAACATATAAAACCTTGCCTTGTTTCTTAGAAATTATGGTATCTCAACAATACAGGCAAGATCTTAAAGAAAAGTAGGCTAGTAAAACTCCACCAACTAGCATTCCTAATCATGCAGTTGTTCTCACTTGTTTGGTGTACATACTTGGTTGGTTATAATTATAGCTAGAATTGCACAACACCAGACTATAGGGGATTTGTTGCAACCTCCTGTAAATGCTTGGCTGCAGATACCAAAGACATGCACTGCCTCTACAAAAGTCATAGTGGTTTGATTATTATTTTTGTCTCTCTTACTCTACTGGGCTATACACCAGTTGAAGAGTGTAGATGCTTGAATAGTTTAAGCTAACTGAGGCAATAGCATGGTCAAATTGTTTCTGCACTTCTCCAGGGTTTTAAACAGGTTTCTGTTGTGACCATTTTACTCTCAACAATATGTTGCCATGGGGTTATAACAAATGTTGAATCTGCAGGTCGAATACATGCCAACTGAAGGGTGTAGATGCAATAATCTGGGAGCACAAACACATTTCATAAACCTGTTTGCTACGTTTTGCAGGATAACAAGATCAGAAAACTGAGGCAAAGACTAGTCTCATACAGATACCAAAGGATGCCATATTTGCTTGGTTATAACTGTTTTATCTCACTCTATTGGGCTTACATACACAATGCTTGAAGGATGTAGATACCTGAGTAGTGGTGACTGTAATATGCCTGGCTACAGCATAATACTCAACCAGCACTACTTCTGCACAGAAGACAATCAAGAACTAATTAGCCTTTAGCAGAACGAGTATTACTATGCCAGTTAGAGTTGCCAATACTTAGTGCTATGTGGGAATGACTTGAAGATAACCAACAAGAGAGTCACAATCCAGCACCAACAACATCCCTCATCATCATCAAAGTTATCAGCACACACAAATCCTGGGAGCACAATTTTACAGCCTAACTTGGTTGTTTCATGTTGCAGGTATCAATAACAGGATCAGAAAACTGAGGCAAAGAATAGAGGCTCAACCTGCACTGCTTTTGCACAGAGAACAATCACAAAATTGATTGGTCTTCAATGTCTTTCTGCTAGTTGAAGTTGCCACTGCCTTTTGCTATGTGGGAATGATTTAAAATGTTTGTTGCTTCCCAAAGGATAACAAGATCAGAAAACTGAGGCAAAGACTACTCTCATACAGATATCAAAGGATGCCATATTTATTTGGTTATAGCTATCTTCTCTCACTCTACTGGGCATACATACACAATGCTTGAAGGGTGTAGATACCTGAGTAATGGTGACTGTAACATGCCTGGCTACAGTAGAATGCTCAACCAGCACTGCTACTGCACAGAAGACAATTAAGAGTTGATTAGTCTTCAGTAGAACCAATATTACTATTCCAGTTGGAGTTGCCAATACTTAGTGCTATGTGGGAATGACTTGAAGATAACCAACAAGAGAATAACAATCCAACACCAACAACAACCCTCATCAATCAAAGTTATCAACACACACAAATCCTGGGAACACAATTTTGCATCCTAACTTGGTAGCTTCATGTTGCAGGTATCAATAACAGGATCAGAAAACTGAGGCAAAAAATAGAGGCTCAACTTGCACTACTTTTGCACCAAAGTCTATCACAAAACTGATTGGTCTTCAGCAGAATCAGTACTGTTGTTACAATGTCTGGATGCTAGTTGAATTTGCCACTACCTTTTGCTATGTGGGAATGATTTAAAGATGACCAACAAGAGAATCACAAACAAGCATCAACAACAACCTTTCTTCACTATTCACCACCCAGTCATCTTCAAAGTTTTCAACATACACAGGAACCTGGGAGCACAACACTACATCCTAACTTGTTTGCTTTATCTTGCAGAGTTCATAGACAGGATAAGACTGCTTTGGCAAGTATACAGAGGGGTGTTGACAGTACAAATAATCAGTACAATACTGGTTCAACACAACATATGTTTGCTGCTCCTCTGAAAACTTTTAATGCCTATTGGTGCTAGCATCAACTCCCAGAGGTATTAGCATATTGCAATGCTTATTATAGGAGTCTCTCAACACATTACAACAACCAAATATCAGCAACACAGATGACAGCACAATCATGCTACACAGATCATTTTCAATCCGACTGAAGTGGTCAGCAATTTGTTGTACATACATAGAAACAACATAGATATCAGTACAAGTCAGGATCAGAAAAATGGAAGCTATCCTGCTATACATCACAAGCAATTTGACTTGGACATCAATCAGATGCACATACACATACGGTTATCACATGGCCTGAGCTTGACTACTGTGTATTACTTGTGTGATGTTAGACCATCTCTCAGTAGTATTAGCATGTTATCATGCTCAGTCTGGGGGTGGTGTAACACCATACAGAACCATAGAGTCAAGCAGCCATCTCATAGATACGGATTATACTAAATGTGATTGTATTTATACACACTATATGGATGCACATAAACAGCCTCTTTGTGTATTATTTATTGGTACTGGTATATCAAACTGAGGATACCTACTCACATGAAATACAAGGAAAATTGCTGCTTACATCTATTTTTTGGTATTGATAGTATAGTGTCATATCATTATCCAGTGGTATTAGTGTGCATGCATGCTCAATCTGTAGATGAAAAGACACTATATTGTCTTCATGTATCAAGCTGGAAGCTCTGTCTCTAGTAAGTTTTCATCTCAAATTCATGCTCAATGTATCAATAATGATGCTGGAATTTTCAGCCCCAAGAACACAATGTCCAAAATGTTTGCTAGACAACTACTGGATTTAAACATACCTACTCCTTGGATTGCAACAAATGGCGCCTGGTGAGAGCTTTGTAGGTGCTACAACAAAATGTTGGCAACTGGTGTGTACATTGACAATCGTTGGCAATACTTGGATGCTTCAAATTACTAGCCTTGTAGTTTCCATCGTTTATTACGTTACTTCTACTTTGCTTTGTTGGTAGGTTATTTAAACATTTTGTAATTTTTACCCAGTTGGGGATTTATTATATATAATAGCTACTAGGGTAATAACCTAGTAGTATAATTTCTATAAAAAAAAACATACGAACACCGTATCCATCACTACACGATGCACCAATACATGATTGCATACCTTTACTGAATTCATACATGCACCGTGTAACCCATATCACCATAATAACATCCTCTGACAACGATAGTCGAAATCCCATGAATCTGATGCCCGCACACACCTCACGAAGCATATAAACAGAAAGGATGTGTAGAAATTTATAACCAACTTCCGAGTCGACAAATCATTGAGTCCCTCTTCCTGACAAGGACCATTATCCCATTATGAACCAAATAATGATATTTACTTTTTTCTTTTAATATGCCTCATATAATCCATTCACCCTGATCCTAGGTCCAATAATCTCGTCTCACCTAGTATAAGTTGTTCTGGCAATAAGCCACCACAAACACTACCAAAGATCTCAATGATGCCACCATGTGCCAACAATCCATAAACTCGAATATGGTACATAAGGAAAATGAACTCTGGAAAGGACTACTCAACCCACGTAACTAATTTAAACAACCGACAATATGTTATGAACCTTCCCCATGAACTGAGAAGCAAAACACACAAGAATAGGTATAGGGAACTGTACTCAACATCACACTGTTGCGGCGTGCAACCCGATCCACACATGACACCATTGCGGCGTGCAACCCGATCCAGCCATGATGGCGCGCAACCCGATCCAAACAACATCTCTGTGGAGGCGTGCCACCCGATCCGCGCATAGTATTAAATGGGGAAATATCCATCAAGCCAGAAATGTTTATACCT